ACGAGTGGTTTTTGATTTGATGTTGTTGAAGTTAACCTGTATGGTGCGTTTGGATAGAAAATTGCTGATCCAACTCAGCATACTTCCCTCTATTCCAAGTTCATCGAGTTTGAGAATTAGTTTTTCCTTCCAGACTCTGTCGAAGGCTTGGGAAAGGTCGATGAAGGCTGCTATAGTGGATTCTGTAGGTTTATGATGGAAGCTGTCCTGGATTTGTTGAACAAAGTAAAAGATTGAATCTTCTGTGCTTTGATATTTTTAAAAGCTCTTTGATGAGGGTCTAGTAGGTTGTTGAGGTTAAGATAAAAAGTTAGCCTATTGAGAATCATGTGTTCCATGATTTTTCAGGGAATAGAGGTCAGAGAGATAGGTCTGTAGTTGGTTGGGTGGTTCTCAAGCTTGCCTGGTTTGTGGATGGGGATAATTGTGGCATGTTTCCACTCTTTAGGGAGGGTAGACGAGCTCCAACTGTAATTGAAAATGCTTAAGAGTTCTAGTTTGGCATGGGAGCTGAGGTTTTTCAACATGGGTCCAGTGATGTTGTCTGGACCAGGAGCTTTTGTAGGGTCAAGATGACTTAAAGCTTCGTCCAGTTCATGCTCTTGAAAAGGTTTACTGAAAATGTTGTGGCTGGGTTTGGATTTTGCAAGGCTTCTGGTGAGCCTAGATTTTCTACCTATTATTTTATCCTGTAAATTAAAATTAAGTTTTGCGGTGGAGCTGTAATGGTGGGCAAAATGATTTGCTATGCTGTATTTGTCTGTGAGGGGATTTCCAGAATTATCCTTGAAGGTATTTGAGCTGCTGTGAGATGGAGTGTCCTGATTGAGGGCATGTAGTAGTCTCCATAGTTTTGTGTCGCTGGTTTTTGGGTCAATTGAAGAGCAGAGTTCAATCCACTTATTCTGTTTGATTTGGTCGGCCTTAAGCTTAATTTTTGCAGCAAGGTGATTGTAATCTCTGATGAGGAGGGTGTTGTTGTTCTCAATGAGGTCTTGGTAAACTTGGTTCCTATCTTCTATTTCATCTTTCAAAAGATCTAGTACCTCTCTATATCCAGGAATGTAGAATTTTCTGTTTCCTCTGGGGATATTTTGTTTGGCAGAAATTAGGACTGCAGACTTCCAGTTCTTCCACCTGTCTTCCAAAGAGGAATTTGGTGGGATTTTGCTGAGAAGACTATCTAACAATGTTTTAAATGAATTCCAGGAGGCTTTTTTATAGTTCCAGAAAAGTCTTTGTGAAGATTTTGGGAGGGAAGTGGAGGTGAAGATTTCTGTTAGCAGAGGGAGATGGTCGCTTCCGATGCTTTTCAGGGTGCTGTTTTTTATGAACTGTTGCATAGATGGGGAGGTGATGGTGAGATCTAGTGTTTGCGGAGTTCCATAGGAGTGAGAGATGTAGGTAGGACCATGGGACACAATTGTGAGGTTGTTGTCATCAATGAAGGTGCTGAGGATAGAGCCCTCAGTGTTGTTGAGGGAACAGCCCCAAGATTGATGCTTGCTGTTGAAGTCTCCAAGGATGAGTATATTGGGATCAAGTAGGTGTGCAACTAAGTCTAGTTCTGGGCCTGGTTTTTGGGGTGGGTGATAAGTATTCACAATTGTTAGGGGTCTCTGATTGGGTAGGTGTATTTTGAAGGCCTGTAGTTCAGTATGGGTTGTTGAAGGAGTGTCAATTTCTTCAAAGGAAAGGTCTTTGATGAGGGTCAGGAGCCCTTCTCCTCCATCTGCTGAAGGCCTGTCTTTTCTCAGTATTTTGAAGCCCTTTACCTTAAAAAGGTGGTTGGGCTTAAGCTTGGTTTCTTGCAGACAAATGATATTAGCGCCTTTGGAGTCCGCCAGTGATAATATCTCATCCAGTTTAACCTTGCTCTTACTAGTAGATATGCCATTGATGTTACATTGAAGAATATTCAATTTGGCATTGGGAGACTGTAGGGAATTTTTCGAATGAAGCCCTCTGCCTAAACTCCAGACGCGGCCCTGATTATTCTGCGCGACGGCCGATGCAGCATAGTGGGGAGATTTGACAACCATCATGATTGGGTAAAGTAAAAAGCGTCTGCCTTTGTCATTAAGACTGGGAGCACTACTCAGTGGCAGGCCGACTTAGCTCCAAAAGAAATGACCGCCTCTGACATGAGGAACAGACGCCATGTGCAGCCGCTCCTAACATGGAGTACAAACGCTGCTCATCCTGTATCCCTGGATCAGGAGCCCTTACAGGGTACTATCAGCCGGGCCAGCTGAGCCCAGGTTTTTTAGCAAGCTTGTTACTGGAAGATGAGGTGGCAAAGTGGTTGATGGGAGCTCCAGATATTTTGTTGCAGCGGCTTTGGCTTGGCTCGACCGAGCATTGGAAGCCCTCATGCTCTGCAGAGCCGCAGCGGTAGCAGATTGGATGTGCAGCTGGGCAGGCAGAAGCGCGGTGGCCGAAACCACAGCAACGGAAGCATCGCTTTAAAGTATGACTGCGCTCATACCTGTGCATTAGACCCGCCACAGGGATACGTCCATGTTGACCGAGGATTTCGGCGACTCGGTTGTCCACTTCGATGAACACTGTACTAGTGCTGTGTGCCGCATTATTCGATCATTATGATGTCACGTTTTCCCTGGAGTGACTGCACGGAGTGTTTGGAGCGGAAGCTCTCGCATATCTCCTCGTCCCGCACCTCCCCGTCCACTCTGAAGAGGCAGTATCTTGGTAGGATAACCGGGCGCTCGTGGCAGCTTAGACCCGTTGGCAGGGAGGTCAGCCCAGAGGCCAGCGACTTTGCCATTTGGGTTGTTTTGGTGTGGAAAACAACCTTGCCGCTGGTGTTGATGGACGCCACCACGTCTTTTGATGACGCTAGGGAAGGATGAATCTTTTGAATTTCCCTTAAAATTTCCCTTGGGTTGGCCTTGGGGTTAGCCGACTTGACGACAACATGCGATTCAAAGGAAGGAGCCAGATTCACAAATGTGGCTTTCGCTTTGGGTTTCGGAGGTGCAGGCCTTACCGGCTTGTCTTTCTCTGCCACTACCGAGGCGAAAGAGGTGGAGGGGATCGGGACGTTGGCTGTGGGATTGGGTCTTCCTAGACTGGCTCCCTTGAAGGCGACCTCAAGAAGAAGTTCTGCCTCTTGGACGAGAGTCAGCATCAGTCCTCTGGTGGCCATCTGTATTTTTTCGGGGGTGTCCAGGCTGGTGTCGGCAATGATCGCCTCGAAGGTTCGGCACCCAAAGTTGAACAAGTTCGCTGTGCTGTTGAACTTAAATTGATTATGGGAAGACGGAAGGAGGTCTTCGTCCTCAGGACGCGGCCGCTTTTTGTTGGTCTGCTGACTTCCTCCACCACCACCACCATCATACTGGTTCGGGGGGGGGGGGGGGGGGGTGCTCCATAAATAAAAATAAACTATCAAAAATCAAATTTACTTCAAATAGAAAAAAAGCCTAACCAGACAAAGAACACTTTTGTCTCGACGAGAGATTGTCTAAGGCTTTATTTCAATCACACGCGTCTTTTATTTTATACTACTGTAAAGGACGATTCTGCTTATATACGCAGCACTGAAGAATGGAATCTCAGAAATGGTTTTCAAGAAAACTATGGACATAAGCTTATAGGACAGTAGAATTACATTCAAATATTTGCATCGAGCAATGCTCTTCCGCAAACAATAAAGACAAGGCCAGTTAGGCATAAATTAACACATAGCAATAACGCGCCATCTATACATATAAAATGAAAGGATTTAAAAGCACGAATGTTTCTTTTATACATAATACAAACTTCTACTGCCCTTACTGTGATGAAAAAATATATTGGGAGGGCTTCGCTCATTCAGTGGTGAATCCTCCCAGCGGTTTCGCCAATTTTAATCCACCAGACCGCTTCTCAGAGCTCTACTACTGTATTGGACGATTCTGCTTATATACGCAGCACTGAAGGATGGAATCTCAGAAATGGTTTTCAAGAAAACTATGAACATAAGCTTATAGGACAGTAGAATTGCTCGATACAAATATTTGAATGTAATTCTACTGTCCTATAAGCTTATGTCCATAGTTTTCTTGAAAACCATTTCTGAGATTCCATCCTTCAGTGCTGCGTATATAAGCAGAATCGTCCAATACAGTAGTAGAGCTCTGAGAAGCGGTCTGGTGGATTAAAATTGGCGAAACCTCTGGGAGGGTTCACCACTGATGAGCCAAGAGCCCTCCCAATATATTTTTTCATCACAGTAAGGGCAGTAGAAGTTTGTATTATGTATAAAAGAAACATTCGTGCTTTTAAATCCTTTCATTTTATAATAAATATTATATTTTAAAATACATATTATACTTTTTTTTTTCAAATGAGATACTATATATGAATAAATATATATTTTTCTTATGGATAAATAGATTGGTTTTTATTAATAAAAAAAAAACTCTTTTTATGCGAGTAATATTTATTGTTGGAAAGAAAAATTTTGTGGCTCTTTAAAAATTAAAATTTTGTGAATTGTAATGTTTGGCTCTTCCGACTCAAAAGTTTGCCTACCCCTGGCATAGGTTGGTAAGCTTGTTTGTTGTTGTTCATATTCTCAGAAATTGGTTCTTGCCGGATTTTGGAAATCATCTCTCACCAAATATATATAATAATATAAAATATATTTATTAAATATATATATAGTATCTGTTAAATATATAAATTATCTGTTAAACCTGCAGAAAGTATGTTCTAAACAGTCGGGTTAGCACACACAAGCAAGTTGTTAAAACCTTTCGTAAATATATAATCTGCTATACAAAATATATGAATATAGAATAGAAATTCGGCTCAATCACAGACTGAAAAAATGTTCCCGCCCGGGATCGAACCAATATATGAATATAGTTTTTTTATTGTAAATAATTTCAAAAAGAATAATTCAATAGTACCATATAAATATAATACCTTAATTACAATATATTTCTCCCGCGTACAAAATTCGCTTTATGCGAACTCGACACGCAAAAAAGCTCCACGGCGGGGAATTGAATCCCGGTCGCCCGTGTGACAGAGAATACTGACCACTATACTACCGAGGACGTTAATCGCAAGTTCCTATATTTGCCACTTTCTAATGCAAGCACAGCCTGTTTTCACTCTATACCAAGATCCTTTTGATATTTTAAAATCAAATAATGAATACTATATTTATTTATTTCGACTTAGAGCGCTATATCCCACTCAAGACACTTGCACTTTAAAGGTAAATAAACGTAGAAAGAGAAGAAATAAATTTGAAAAAATTTACCAGAATTAGTATGTAATTTAGTTAGAAGGAAAGGGGAAATATCAACACAATTGGAATATTCACAAAAAGTTGGTATGCAAATTTAGTTAAATGAAATCAATTGTTAAGTAGTGTATTCGAGGAAAATATTTTACAGATTGAAGAAGGTTTTAAGGAATATTTTAGAAATGAATTCTATAAAATAACATTCAACAATAATGCAGGCATAATTCCACCTTCTTCAATTTTAAAAACGACAAATAAATATTTTATTCAATCCTGCATCCTGCATTACTGCAATGGAAAAAATATTGGGAGAGTCTAGCTCATCAGTGGCAAATCTTACCAGTGGTTTCGCCGATTTAATCTACCATAAAGCTCTACTACTGTATTGAAATGTTTTGTTTCTATCTCTGGCACTCTAGAGAGGTTCTTGGCTGGTTTAGTGAAGGAAACTGTGGACATGAGCGCTTTGAGAACAATAGAATAATATATATAAAATAAAAGGATTTAAAATATAATACAAAGCAATAACGTGCCATCTATATATAAAGGATTTAAGCACGAATGTTTCTTTTATATACAATACAAACTTCTACTGTCCTCACTACGATGAAAATATATATTGAAACATTTGTTTTATCAGATAATATTGTCCTGAAGATAGAGGTTGCCTGGCCGGCATTCATATTTCTGTGAAAAAGATTGTTATCGTTAAATATTTGCAAAGTGTTAAATTTTAGAATTTGCATATTCAACCTCAACATTCATTTACTTAATATACAGGGTGCCTCAAAAAAATGTATACACACTTTGAACTTCCATAGAAAATTTATTTACCGTTCTACAAAGTTAAATTTCAGGAAAATAGAAAACTGAAAGTCCAATATAAATGAAACATAAATAACAAATGTTAATACTGTTCAAATTGGTGACCTGCAGCATCAATACAATTCTGAGTACGAGTCACCACAGATTCTGTACATCGTATCAAAACGTCCAATGAGATTTCTCTACACACTGCTTGAATCTCATTCCAAAGAATGTCTAGGTTACGTGGTTTACGTTTGTACACCCCATCTTTTACTGTGCCCCACAAGAAGAAATCCAGTGGTGTAAGGTCTGGAGAGCGTGCTGGAAACTCGATTGGCCCCCTGCGTCCTATCCACTGGCCCGACAAATTTTGATCCAGGTAAGCTCGTACGTCCCTGTGATAGTGTGGCGGAGCACCATCTAGTTGAAAATAAAAATCATCATTACCGTATAATGAGTCCCCTTGAAGACAAACCGCACCACACATTTACACCAGGCAAATTTACAGCTTTTTCAATTGTAATGTGAGGATTTTCTTCACACCAGTAAACACAATTGTGCCTATTGACAGTTCCATTAAGTTTGAATTGGGCTTCATCCGACCAAATGATGCTACCCATAAATCCCGGTTCACGTATCACCATCTCTTGAATCCATTCACAAAATTGCAACCTTCGATCTGGATCGTCGTCATTTAGCTGTTGCACCAGCCTTGGAATGTAAACACGATACTTGCCTCTCTTCAGAATGCGTAGCACGCTGCTAGCACTTACATCACTTTCACGTGCCCCTTGCCTTGAAGATTTGTTAGGAGAGCGTTGAAACAGTTCCAAGACTGCCGTTGTTGACTCATCACTTGTAGCTGTTCGAGTCCGACCTGAATGACCTTTATGCACATCACACACTGTTCCATGAACTTCGAATTTGTCTCGTATGCGTGTAATTGTTAATCTTGAAGGTGGTTCTGTATCATACTCCCTTCTCCACTGTCTTTGAACTTCATTTTCATTCTCAAACTTCCAGTACCACTTAATAACCTGTTAGTGAAAGGCACGCCCGCGCGAGAAGAAAGAAAACAGTTTTGGCCGTGAAGACATGTTGGTGGAAGTGTACGTAAGGGATTTGATTGCTATCACTTTGGAAAATGCTCATGGAAGGAACACGACACCTTTTTCGACTGTATACGTTCGGTTATCATCACAACTACGAGCGTTGGGATCTTTAGGAGTCACAACAGATAAATGCGCTGCTATTCTGTACCCCATGGTGGAATCAGCTTTACCTGAAGATCTCTTCGTCGCGTGGGAAAGGACTCGTCATCATCACAAGCCTGATGAAGATGGAAAGCATAAATCAAGTGAAGTCCTCCTGGAGAAGCTTATGGAATTCCTAAAACACGAAGTTGAGGGAAGTACAAGACTGCTCAACGATTTGTAGTGCAATGCCTTCCGCTCAACCTACCGAATGGATGACGGAACTTCGATCAAAGGGAATTGACTTGGATGTCTATAGGTCGAACACGGAGATTGAACTACTACTAGGAGCAGACGTATACGCCAAGCTACTAACAGGAAAGAAAATAGAATTGGAATCTGGTCCTGTCGCTCTCGAAACGAAGCTGGGCTGGACTGTTAGTGGAAAGGTTTTGGAAAATGTTCAAACAACTAAATCTCAATAATCAGTTCTGTCATGCTTAGTCCGTGATGCAACAATACAAGATCTTCGGAGATTAGATGTTATCGGTATCATGGAACCCATGAAGGAAAAGAGCAAAGAAGAGTTGTCAGTTGCAGCGTTGGAACATTTCAACCAAACAGTGAAACAGAATGAAGATGATCGATATTCTGTCAATTTACCTTGGATAGGAGAACACCCACCACTCCCTAATTACAAGCTAATTTCGGAGAATAAACTTGAATCTACTACTGCTTTAGCAGGGATTAAACGTGATATGAACAGGTCAGTGTTTGTCGCGGGAAAAGTAAAGAAGATTCGACAAAATTCAAGCATAACTGATTGGAGGCACGTTCCTGGTAAAGAAAATCCTGCAGACATCCCCTCACGTGGAGCTTCAATCTCACAATTGATTACTACTAGATGGTGGGAGGGACCTTTACCGAAGGACAGAGTGGAGTGGGACACTGCAGACTTTTTATTTTCAACTAGATGGTGCTCCGCCGCACTATCACAGGGACGTACGAGCTTACCTGGATCAAAATTTGTCGGGCCAGTGGATAGGACGCAGGGGGCCAATCGAGTTTCCAGCACGCTCTCCAGACCTTAAACCACTGGATTTCTTCTTGTGGGGCACAGTAAAAGATGGGGTGTACAAACGTAAACCACGTAACCTAGACATTCTTTGGAATGAGATTCAAGCAGTGTGTAGAGAAATCTCATTGGACGTTTTGATACGATGTACAGAATCTGTGGTGACTCGTACTCAGAATTGTATTAATGCTGCAGGTCACCAATTTGAACAGTATTAACATTTGTTATTTATGTTTCATTTATATTGGACTTTCAGTTTTCTATTTTCCTGAAATTTAACTTTGTAGAACGGTAAATAAATTTTCTATGGAAGTTCAAAGTGTGTATACATTTTTTTGAGGCACCCTGTATTTTCCAATTTGTGTTTTTGTTATGAAATTTTAATAAAAAGCATTATTTGTTCTCTCGCAATAATCTCTCTTACGATATGATGACTTTTTATCAGAAGGACCGGGTGTGATCAAATTCGAGAGTATTCTTTATATATATAATATAGCTTTGCGCAGAGGCGATATCGGAGCCGATGGAAATTTTACGAGGCGCGATTATTGCTATTTGAAAACTTTTTAATATAAAGATATTTAAATATGTAATAAAAATTATTTTTGCTTCAATCAATTTACCATCGCCATCAATCCAGCTGCCAGAGTGTCGTCTGCTCTCAAAGTTAGGATCGGCTTCCTCTTATCAAGAAGTTTTGGGTTCGTATCCCACCACTCCCACTTTTTCTGGTCTCGAAAATCATACACTTTGGTTAGTAGCCGTAACACCATATTCTCTCTCTCTCTCTACCAAGAAGTCACACCTCGAGGCTGTGTTCTACAACGGTGAGTAGAACAAATTTCCCTACCTATTATGGTTTTGAATATAATTTGTTGGTTGGAAGTTTGTTTGGTAAATTATATGACCAATTTTTAAAATTAGTTCCTGACGTTTCAGTGACTTACTGTCACTCTCACTGAGTCACTGAAACGCCGAGAACTAATTAAAATTTTGGTTGAGATGTAACCATATATTTTTCCAAACCATCATAGTTCGTGAACGTATGACAACGAATTGCTATTTGTTTCTTTATTAAAACTTAACTCAGACCTGAAGCAGAATCAACACTCGAAATCTTTCCGCATTTTAATAAAGAAACATATTCTTCCTTTTACATTTATAACTAATTTTCAAGTGTCTATTTAATCTTTGAATGGATTCAAGTCTCCAAAAATGATCCTTGGGCCAATCTAAAAAAGCCCCAAATTACTGAGAAACATCAACTTAGGTAAAGTTGACCTGATTTTCTATTATACCCACACACACATTTTGTAGAAGTAAACACAAGTTTTTATATATTTTTAATGACAATTGAAATACTTAATGAAATTTATATTTATTGAGGTCATTGTTATGTATCAGCGTTGATCATAATCTCGCTGAGACTTTCATTATCAATAAAAACTATATCTTTGCTGTTTTTGTTTTAAAGAAAATGAAAATAAATAGAATATTACCCATTAATAAATTTATGACGAGATAATATTAACTTATAAATGCCAGACAATCAAATTTGACGCAACTTTTAAAAATAAAATATATATTTTTTTACACCACTAGAACTCAAGATTTTAAGAAACCTAGTGAAAGCATAATACATGTATTAGGTCAAGACTATTATTGAATACTTAAAATCCTTTATTATTTTTCACATCGTTTGGCTGTTCTCACATCCCCTCTGGCCTAAAT